TTCGCGTTGAGATTAATTATGTTGGCGGTCCGACGTCGTCGTTGTCACAAAAAAGTAACTATTATAACAATTTCGAGTTACTCGTAATAATACGATGTGCACGCCGAGTTTCATTATTTCATTGGTCTGATGTCGTCATGGTTATCAGGAATAGTATCGTATCACAAGTTCGAGTACCTCTTAGWTRATTGATATSCGCGTTRAGATTAATTATGTAGGCGGTCCGACGTCGGCGTCGTCACAAGTAAAGTAATTTATAACAATTTCGAGTTACTCGCAATAGAACGACGTGCGAATTGAGTTTAATTATGTTGGCGGTCCGATGTCGTCGTCGTCACGAGAAAAGTAACTACCATAACAATTTCGAGTTACTCGCAATAGAACGACGTGCGAATTGAGTTTAATTATGTTGGCGGTCTAATGTCGGCGTCGTCACAAGAATAGAAATATATAACAATTTCGAGTTACTCGCAATAGAACAGCGTTTGCGTTGAGATTAATTATGTTGGCGGACCGACGTCGTCGTTGTCAAAAGAAAAGTAACTATTATATCAATTTCGAGTTACTCGCAATAGAACGACGTGCGAATTGAGTTTAATTATGTTGGCGGCCCTATGTCGTCGTCGTCACAAGAAAAGTAACTTATAGCGATTTAGAGTTATTCGTTATTATATGAATTACCCGCCGAGTTTAATTATTTTAGTGGTCCGATATCAGCGTCGTCACAAGAAAAGTAACTATTATAACAATTTCGAGTTACTCGTAATAATACGATGTGCGCGCCGAGATTCATTATTTCATTGGTCTGACGTCGTCATGGATATCAGGAATAGTAACGTATCACAAGTTCGATTAACTTTTAGTTAATTGATATGCGCGTCGAGATTAATTATGTAGGAGGGCCGATGTCGGCTTCGTCAAAATAAATGTAAGTATTATAACAATTTCGAGTTAATTTTATTAACACGATATGCACGCCGAGTTTCATTATTTCATCGGTCTGATGTCTTCATGGTTATTAGGAATAGCAACGAATCACAAGTTTGAGTAACTCTTAGTTAATTGATTTGCGCGTTGAGATTAATTATGTAGGTGGTCCGACGTCGTCGTTGTCACAAGAAAAGTAACTTATAACGATTAAGAGTTTTTCGATATATGATGTGGCCGCC